GAGTAGCGTAGATCATGCCTTTACCATCTGAGGAAAAAAATGTGCATCCCGTAGAGAACTGTTCTGTAGATGTGAGTTTTCGATACACTGCCACCCACTGTTGGAAGTGTATTAGTTTGCTGTGAGGTAAAATCCGCACGGAATATAAAAGATCCAAACATTTTCTTGTCATCACATCAGCTGATGTCCGTGCCACTGTCTGTGTGGAAAGCATGACTGAGGCTTTATTACATCAACATACCAATGTTAACGATTAAAAGTCTTAAAATTCAGTCATATTCATCCTCTGGGAACATAGGTGAAAATCTAAGTGACCATTAAAAATGATTGAGTCTGTGTTGCTAATAATTTGTGTCTTTGTGTTTTGTATGAAAGTCAGAACAGCAGGTGTAGAATTCAAAGCAAACACATTACCAACAACCTGGGGAATATGGACTGTGTGTGTGTGTGTGTGTGTGTGTGTGTGTGTATGTGTGTGTGCATTATTGAGCTTTGTGATGCATGCAGCAATCTTGAATGTGTCATCATAACTTAATTCAATTTTTTTGCTTTTGTTTTTGCCTCTTAATTATTTGCTAGGTTATATTAATCAAAAAAAAAATCAAAAAGACCAATAGCCCACCAAAGGAACAAAAGCATGACCTTCAGTTTAATGCGCTTGGTAAACAAGTTGTAGCCATGCAAGAGGAAGGGAGATGATTGATATTCAGGCTTTTACGTATTCATTTATTCATATATTCATTGGCTTGAGTTCCTATCAGGATAGTGGAATTGGGCAATGAAAGAAAAAGACAATAAAAGAAGGTAAGATAATAAAATTAATGTAAGAATCACATATGGTAGGAGGAAAACGGGTATTATAAGGTCGTATTAAGTCCCAGCGGGTGCATAAAAACTGCACAAAAAACCCATGCTCAAACAATAAACTGAGGTTTTCAAAAGATGAGAGCGATGAATATGATGATATGTCTGGCAAGTTTTTACTCAGACACACACTTGTCCAACTATGACTTTAATTATGGATTTAATTACATTCTTTTAAGACAACTCTCAAGCAGGAAGATTTTAAGTTATTCTAAAGTTCTGAGAAAGATAAATCATATCCAAGGTCTACAATACAAAACGACTGTTTGAGTGCTGAGACAAAAAGAACCAGATCATCATTTGTAGTTTTGTGTGTATGTGTGTGTGTGTGTGTGTGTGTAAGTATGTTATAATGTGAGCTGTTAATGCGCTGATAATTCCCTAAAAGATTATTTTTATGCTTCGGCACCAGCAGTATTCCTGGCCTGGAGGCATTATGTTTTTGGGATAGATAGAATTGGACGGACAGTTGTCCATCCAATTCTCATGAATGTGATATGTGAAGAATGCTGCGAGGGAATTTCCTCAAATTTAGCTCAAACGTCCATCTCATTAGATTTTGGTGGCCATAGATCAGAGGTAAAGATCACTGTCAACATGTCTGTCTCCCTTGAGGGACGTCTTTTTTCAAATTTGGCACAAACATTCATTTTGAGTTATTGATCAACTGCCTAGATTTTATTGGTCAAAGGTGAAAGGTCAAGGTCACCATGACCTTGCATCTATTTCATTCACGTAAAGGTGATATTTCAAGAACACCTTAAAGGAAACTCTTCAAATTTGGCACAACTGTCCACTTTGAGTCAAAGATGAACTCACTGGAATTTGGAAGGTCACTGTGACCTTGTTAGCTGTATTCTCATGAATGAAATATCTCAAGAAGGTCTTGAGGGGACTTCCTTAAATTTGGCACAAACATTTACTTGAAGTTATTGACAAAACTTATTAGAATTTGGTGGTTAAAGGTCAAGGTCACTGTGACCTCACAAAACATGTTTTTGGCTGCAACTCAAGAATGTATTTGCTAATTATGACAAAATTTCAAACAAATGTCTACTAGGATATAATGATGAAGCCATGAAAGGTCAAAGGTTAACTTCACTGTGACATCACAGTGTACTGCACAAACATTTTTTCTGGCCATAACTCAAAATCATATCTCAGGAATAGAGGGAGACGTTTGGTCAGATACTTAATTGTTGACTCTGATCTGTTCACAGGGTGCTCGGGTGCTGCCGGGGGGATGATGTGTGTGAAGCATTCATTTTTTTTCACAGACATGGATGTAAACTGTAAGTGCAACTTGACTGGTTCACGGAGGCATGCAACCACAAAGCACTAATTCTAGTCTTTTAATGGTTTGGTGATTTATGTCTGAAATGTGGTGCTTATCTGACTGCTACTTTCATTTGTAAACCCTGTCAGCAAGTCCAATTTTTCTCTCTGCACAAAAAAGATTTCAGGCTGAACTAATTATTGAGAACAGATAAGATATAATTGCGTAGATATACTACAAGTGGACACCTTCACTACACTCATATCTGATAATTAAACATGTCTTTCCAGAACTATGGGCATTATTATGCTGCTATTATAGCCACCATTCTTTTGGAAGGGCCCCCAATCAGATTTTGGAAACTCCCATTCAGCCACAAGAGCTGCTCAGGCCGTTCCAGTTCATCCCAGAGTTGTTGGATGGGGTGGAGTCAGGGCTAGAAATGCTTGATTGTTCCAAAGTTTGCAATTCCCTAAAGTGGATTCTGTTCTTTAACTTATCGACCTCCATATCAGAACAAATACTGTAAGAGACTGTAAGCAATCTATTTCAAAGCTGCTGACATTAAAACATCAGGGGAGCACTCAGAGTCAGGACCAAAGTTTCCACTATGCTGGTGGTTCGGTGACCTGCTTCAAACACCCCAATTCATCATGTTGCTCATAAAACACGATATTTCATGTCCTGTTGCGTATAAAATGTAGCTGACGTGAGCAGTTTTTGATGCTCTGACAGCAAATTGGTAGGGATGCAGGGATTTTATCGGAGCTCAGTATACATTGAGTATCAGAGCTGCACAAACAAGGGTTTCAGTGTGGTGTCAAATCAGCAAGAGCATTGACCTCAGGTGCTGCTGGGGTCAATCTGTAGCCTTTAGTGATTTATATTGCATAAATGTGCTGCTGCTATGGGTTAAAATAGACTTTTGAAGGTAGACGTCCTTTCTAGCAGTCTGACCTGTTTAATGATTGAGTCTTGTTTGTGTATTCGGCTATTTTCTGCGGCCCTCTTGTGTACGTACCCTGGTTAAATGTGACTTTGTAGGGTAGAAGCAACAATATCACCTGATGAAATCACCTGTGAAACTTTTATCAGACAGTTTCCCAAATGTTTTCATGTCACAGACTCCCATGTCCACTTTATGGCCTTAGATCTTCATATCATAATAAGATGCTACTGCATAGTACTAGCTCATCCAAACAATCTGAGGAAGAAATTTCACTTCGGCTGAACTTCCATTAACTGTGATGGTGAAACAGCTAATATTTTGAGGGACATGTAATGCTAAATAAATTTTGTATTAACATAAAGAAAAAATGTTGCTAATTAATGTACCTGGCAAGTTGCAAAAATCTTGATAGTGACTACAACATTATTTTTTACTACCTTTTTTTTTTAACTCAAGTGGTTTTGTTGCCTTAACTAAAACAGGAGTCCTGCAGCAAACACAAAATTCTACCCACCGATTTAACCACCTCCTTGCAAAGCCTACGCAGTACATGGGTGTAGTGTTTGATTACCTGAAAGAAACGCTGTCTCTGAACATAATCCAGGCAGTGATCACCTTGCCATAAAAACCTAATTAAGATAGCAGTTTCATAACATACAGGGTTGCATGAGGGGTCACATGAAGACATTGCTTCACTCAGAAGGTACACAAGCCAAAAAGGCTGGAAACCACTGATGTAGAGTAAAGCTTAGCTAGGTGGGTTTTTATGTTGCCTTGGAGGAACAACTTCCAGCGGATCAAATTAAAGTGAAATTGATCCGTGTTCTTGACCCAGAGGCAACCCCTCGATGATAAGACCCCAGATCCCAGTGTGAGAACCACAGCTATAACACCAGTCATTTTTAAAACCTAGATAGATAGATAGATAGATAGATAGATAGATAACTTTATTGTACACCTCTGTGGAAATTTGTCTTTAGCTTCTCTCAAAAATCAAAGGTACAGACAGACACACAACATGCTCCCTCATACGGTTATTCCGTGGTCATTACCTGTATGGCACACAGAATAACTGTTTATATGTTCAGACTGGCTCAAGGGATCATGAATTGATGCCCAGACATGGGCCTTGTAGGAGACATGCAAATACATTACACTGTGTAATTTCTCTCCGGTTTAAAAACTAAAATTATAAATAAATATTTGAGGACATGACAGAGGAAATTCCAGCAGCAACATGCAGTAAAGGCTTATGACCACTTGGTGGCACTACTATCCAAGGCTAACCGAGGCATTAGTACCATACCCACGTATGGGGTGATCATACAATAATTGGGCTAAGATTAGAAAATGATGAAAAGGCTTCGGGAGCAGTTTGGGTTCCTGCTCTCACCTCCTGCAACATAAATCTCAGAAGTTTTAGAAGTGAGGTGAAGGTAGATTGCACCTCCTGTCCTAACACTTAAAATTTAATGCCTCCACTTCAGCTGTAAGTAGCAAAAATGACTGATGGATGAATTGAGGGAAAATGGCACTTGAGCTCCCCCACCTTTGTTACATAACCGATCCTTAAAACTAAACTTGTCTTCATGAAAAAAAAAGTCACTTGTATCTTTTTCCTTAAAAGTGGAACGATAACAGACCCTGGAACAAATCAGAAATATAACCCAATGACACTGTGCTGTCATATCTCAGAAATATGGCAGGACGCTCCTCAGTTTTTCTTGGATGGATTATTTTTATAGTAATAGTAGCAATTTTCTAAAATGCCCGGCGACTGCCCACTCCTTCACACCATCATTCATTGTCCTCTCACACTCTGTGTAATCTCACCCTTTGTCTTTATCTCTCTCCTGTGTGTGTATATGTGTGCGCGTGCGTGCGTGAGTGCGTGGAGGGAGAAACGCTTAATAACAGAGGTGATACCAAAATAAATTTGAAACAGAACATTTCGTCATTCTGCACAATTACGCACGCTCATCAATGGACACACTTTGTCCTTGCCAAGACATTTTCAGTAGAATGAACTCCAAAGAGGCCTGAGAGATTTTTCGTGTGCCGTGGATCATTTTTTTTTTTTTTTTTGCATGCTTAAATAGTCGGTATTCGGCAGCCTATAGGCTATCCAACATGTCTTTTGACGTCACACGTCAACTTTTGAGATATATACGCGCGCACTGCGGTTTTTAAGTTTCTATCTTTCGGGCCGAAAAGTAGGAGGGCTGTCAGGGTGGACAACAAGAAATAAAATCGTATTTTATAGGTCAGGTATTTTGGGAATATGCCTTCGGCGTGCCACGTGCGTAATGACGAGTATGCCTCTAAATAGAAAAATTAAGGCGTTGAGGCTTTATGAAGGAAAAAGAGCATGTCAGAGTAGTTTAGCCTGAGGGGGGGCTGTGGAAAGAAATTACTCATTTCTCACACCAACACCGGCACATCCGTGCGCATCTATGTCACCACCGGACGGGTCTCCAAGTCCATGGATAAAAAGGAACAGAAGGCAGCAGAATGGTTGTTGTGGGAGCGAGTAACGCAACTTTCGGTGGTGGCAACATGAGGTCGTCGTTCATGATAGAAGATAGAGCCGGTGGTGGAGATCCCGGGGGCTCCACCAACATCATGATCTCGGAGGCTCTTGCGCCCCGGCTGCTGAAGATTGCGCAGGGCGCCGCAGAGGCAGCGGCAGCAGCGGCAGCAACGACTTCTCCAACCACGTCCAGTCAGCCGCAGGTCATGGAGACGAACGGGACCCGGTGCGGCGAGCAGATCCTGAGCTACGGCCGGTTTGAGAAAGTCCTGATCGGCGGGGTGCTCACCATGCTCACACTGTCCACCATCTGCGGGAACTTACTGGTGGTCATCTCCGTGTGCTTCGTCAAAAAGCTGCGCCAGCCGTCCAACTATCTGATCGTTTCGCTTGCCGTGGCGGACCTGTCAGTGGCTCTGGCCGTGATGCCGTTTGTCAGCATCACGGACTTGATTGGCGGTCAGTGGATATTCGGACAGTTTTTCTGTAACGTTTTTATCGCCATGGATGTGATGTGCTGCACCGCGTCCATCATGACTCTGTGCGTAATCAGCATTGACAGGTGAGATAAACTTATTTTATGCCTTTAACAGAGTGAAGATGTTTTTTCCTAAATGCAGTAAAACAATATGTAATAACTATCACACTATATAAAGTTACTTGGTCATTATTAGCACAAGACAGAAAAGACACCAGGGCAGATGTACAACTTGTAATATAAGTACCCTTATGTTTTTTATTATTGATTCATTCAACTTTTACGCATCGCAGTTTTGGAATCAGACTCTCCACATGAAGATTTTGTCAGAGGCAGATACATTTTTGGCAATATCCCTTCCTTAGTTTTTAATCCCACTTTTCCCTCTCACCATCTTCTTAAAAAAATCCATTACGCATTTTAATAAAATATTTTGTCGCTCAATTACACCGGAGGTCAGAGCGCGGAGGTTCATTGTCTCTCTCAAGGGCACTGGGACAACACTGGTGACACAAAGTGGCTGATGAGGGGATCAAACCTGTGACCTTTCAATACGGTTCTTTGTTCACTGTGCGCCAGATTCCGTTCTAACTGAAAACCCTTTTAAAGGAAATAAAAGGACCAGAGTGGAGAGTGAAAGCATTCAGAAGCAGTATGCAAGAAATGACTCTCCAATTGCTCCAGATCTAAATTTAAAATCACTGTAATGAATGATTTATAGCTTTTTGTTCACATATAAATTCGTAAATTTAATAAAATTATGCAGATGTTTCATGAGCACCCAACATGCCTGTGTATCTGCTGTGGGCTGGTGGGTTAAATCCAGTATCTAAATGTACTATATATATTGTTTTAAACCAGTGAGGCATAATCCTGTAAGTGTGCTCTGTAGTGAAATGGCCCATGTGGAGCTAAGCTTTATTTAACACTGAAAGGTTTGTTGGTCACATATGGTCTTTCTCAGCATCTTGGAGCTTTCAGCTTCCAACCTGGGGGCTGCATATGGCAACCACAGTTTGTTGTTAAGCACCTTGCTCAAGGGCACCTTGTTGAGGGTGGAGGGAGCATCACTTACTCAGAGTAGAATAAGGCAAGAAAATACCTTTGTAAAAGAGATCACAACCTAAATTAAAATGTGTCTGCCTGTTTAAGAGATTTTTAATCATTTTTCTCTGTAGGTATCTGGGTATCACAAAACCCCTGACGTATCCTGTCCGGCAAAACGGCTGCTGCATGGCCAAAATGATCTTGTCAGTGTGGCTCCTCTCAGCCTCCATCACCCTGCCCCCTCTGTTCGGCTGGGCGCAGAACGTCAATGACGGAAGAGTTTGCCTCATCAGTCAAGACTTTGGCTACACTGTCTACTCTACAGCTGTGGCGTTCTACATCCCCATGTCAGTGATGCTGATCATGTACTATAGGATCTACCGGGCAGCCAAGCTCAGCGCTGCCAAGCACACCATCACTGGCTTCCCCAGGGACGGGGAGCAGAGTGCAGGGGTGGCTCCTCGGGGGGGAAGAGGGGGGCATGATGCTCACCGGCCAGCAGCATCAGGAGAAACAGTTAGTGTCGAAGGGACAGAGGCTGAAGAGGAGGAACCTGAGGAAGAGGAGAGCTTGGACTGTGTGGCAGCGGCGTTAAAGCTCCAGCGTGAGGTGGAGGAGGAGTGCAGCACGCGCGTCTCTCGCCTCCTCAAGACCGGCGAACACCACCAACGCCGGCATAGGAAAAACCAGTCCATCTTCAAACGGGAGCAGAAGGCTGCAGCCACTCTGGGCATCGTGGTGGGCGCCTTCTCCTTCTGTTGGCTGCCGTTCTTCTTGGTGTCCACTGCAAGGCCGTTTGTCTGCGGCGTGGAGTGCAGCTGTGTGCCGCTCTGGCTGGAAAGAACTCTGTTGTGGCTGGGATACGCCAACTCCCTCATTAATCCTTTTATTTATGCATTTTTCAATCGTGATCTGAGGACCACCTACAGTAACCTCCTGCGGTGCCGCTACAGGAACATCAATCGGAAGCTGTCAGCGGCTGGCATGCACGAGGCTCTGAAACTGGTGGAGAAGCCAGACACTGATGTGTAAAGCTGTAGGTCTGCCAATCAACGATGCTGCAGAGACCAACAGAGACAACTGCCAGGGAGAATGCCTAGTGGGGTTTAGACTGCGGCACAAGGCCACCACGCTGCCAGAATGGTTATTTCCCCAAATTTGTGAAATGATTGCTCAGGTGAGATGAGGCAGGATGCTGTGATTAAATGGGTGCACGTGAAGGAACACTGAAGAAGCCTAAATCTTATTATCTGGGGATCGCGGAAAAAATTGAGGGAACGTTGTGATGAATTCATATTGTCTGAATAGTGGCTGCTGCAGTGCACTCACTGCTACTGAACAATTATGGCCAGCTACTGTAACAATGGTCGCTACGTTGGTGCATTCACAACTGGTTGCTACCCTACTGAACAGTCTTTTGCACATGACACTGTTACAAAAGTTGGTGGAGCTACACACTGACTTTGCACTCTCACCACCATGAGTGGAAACTTTTCTACCGCAGCAGTCAGTGTCTTGAATTTTCAGACTGAGCCAAGGAAAACTAACAAACAAAAATGGAGGAGTTCTTGGAGAGCAAGCGGCCCATGAGGCTACAACACCAAATGTGTTCACCTTGGTCCCTGGTCATCACAGTGACACTATTTTTCACTGCTTCTAAATGTTGAGTTTCCTTCAGTGGACAAGCATGATAACAAGAGGACAATAAAAGCTCAACTGACATGTAAAATTTGTACACAAGTCGACAGCCGTGCTGTTTCTGGGACAAACCTTATTTCAGAGGTCCTCTGACGATCTACCAGACCTGACATGAGTTTATATCTTTTGAAGAAGCTTTTTTTGTTAATACCACAATGTGTTGAATGTGCCAAAACTTGCTCCCTTTTCCTCTTCTCAAGTCCTGACCACGACTTCGTTGAAAAACGATTTATCAATCAGCATCGGATGTTTTATAACCAGGCTGCTCACTCGATGATGTGAGGAACTAGTAGGTGATATCACAGGATGGAAGCCAACACAGTAGAGATGTAAAGATGTATAGAGAAAAATCATCACTTAGGACTTATTTGAATGTGCCTGTGCCTTTTACTCAGTCATCGTTAAAGGTTGATTTACAGCACAGAAGAGTCTCTTTTCAAACTATGCACCTCGTGTTTTAGATTTGACACAGTGTGTGACAGTCCTGTGAGCACTCCCGAGTCGGTCGTGGCTCAGTGTGAGCCTTGTTGTGTATTATGTCACACAATAGCTTGTGAGCCAGGCGCTATCCAGACAAAAGCTAATGGAGGAGTGGTTCATGGTTAAAACTGAGATTTCAGGATGGTCTGCTTTTCTCTTGTAGATTTTTTTTATTTCAGTGACACTATTCCAATCCACACCCATGTCATACCAAGTCATTATCAGTTCAACAGCTGGTTATTTCTGGTCTAAAGAATGTCAGAAAATACACAATAAATGCCAAATGACAATTTCTCAGACCCCAAGGTGATGTCGTCGAATTCCTTGTGTTGTCTGACCAACAGCCCAAAGATAATCAAGTTCCAGTGATAGACAACAGACTGAACATTGCATTTGGGGGGCTGTTACCTGCAAATTGTGGGCAGTATATAACTTAAAACCCCTAGAAAATGCACTGCGTTCCAAAAGTATACTTTTTACTTTTAGTATGTTAGGCCTTTACATAGTACATACTGTTGCATGAAGTATGCACACAATCAGGACATACTGCATCATCATTACATTGCGCCCTGAACTTTGCCCCTATTGCTCATATATCCATTACCTTGATGATAAAACAAAACGCCATTCACCAAGATCACCATAGATAGAATCTGCTTTTACTTCTTTGCAATGAATTTGGTGCTAACTTTTAAGTTATAACTGCACACATTGTATATTTTATTCACGGCAAATTACATCTCTGTCACTGTTACTTTTATCGTTATGCCCTTTTGTCAGTTTCTTGTTGGTTAATTTTATGATTATTTTGTTCACTTAAACATTCAATGTTCCAATTATCACTATTCAACTGGTCATCAGTCACTTCAAGGTGCTGTCGTCCGTCATTGCGGCTTCAGACAGCTGTTAATGAGCTGTCAAACTGTCATCTGTTTGCAGCTCAGTCAATGTGATGTATCGTCAGCAGCGCAGAGGATTGAGGGTCAGAACAGCCAGAAAAGCATGCTGGCTTGCATACTTCAAAATATGACCAGGTGCAGGAGAACATCCTGGTATTTTTGGCACACTGAATTTGACGTCTTTTTCTGTCATACTAAATAGTATGATAGTATGAGTACTGGAACGCACAAATAGTCTCAAGTCTTTATCTATATCATTAAACATTCATGAGTTTTTAGCTTTTATTTATTAAACTTTTAACAAAAAAAAGGAAGATATTCTGCTTCATCAGGATTGTGTGTGATGTCGCTACACTCCAATAGAATCTAAAATAAGTGCCATCATCTTTTTCCAGCTAAGCCCCGCCCACTTCAAACCAGTAAGTAAAGGAAGGAAAAAACATGAAGAACATTTTCCCATGAAATAATAAAAGTGTTTAAACAACATTTCATTGTAGAATCCCATCATACTTAAAAACTCTGGGAAGGAACTGACTGAGAAAATAGGTTTGAAAAATTAATTGGCATGGATGGAAAACTGAATGGGCCTACTAGGCACAGGCCCAGGGCCCCAAAATGTCAGGGGCCTTTACCTGCAAAATGTTATTCAAATCAAAACGTACTGACCAGGAAGACACTCTAAATGACTACGAAGAATCACAAGAAGATACAAAGGAGCTGCAAAAAGATAAACAACAACAACAAAAGAGGCAAAACCACCCAAAAGTCGGTGTCTTCCTCCTGTGTAAGAGAGGTAGTGCCCATTGTCTCATAACCCGCCCATGTTCATTAGCTATTAAAATAGTTGACAATCATTTCTCTTTTGATCGACCAATTAATTATTTAGCTGATCTTGTCAGCACTGTAGCTACAAACTTCAGTTTTACATATTCCAAGGTGTCAAACTTTTAGGAGCAAGTTTGAGATTCTTCACCTACTCACCTTCTGCTATTACTGAGTTCTATGTGATCACAGAAACTAATTACAGAGGCGCAGGATCTAATGTAGCTGTCTCTTGGGCCATTAATCTAGGGTGCGGCACGGAGTAGAAATCTGATTTGGACGTAGGAGGAAAGAGGGCAGATGATAGCCGGCGTTTCATTGGCGTTTCAAAGCCACTCCCTCTGAGATTAGGAGACTCTCGGCTCAGCGTTTCATTATAGTAAAGCACAGGTTTGGCTCTAGGGAAGTGAACTGGAGCAGTGACAGAGTGCATATACTGTATATGTGCACACCAAATTTCCAATTACTTTGATGTTGATGCCATGTCCTGTGTGTAATAACAGGAATAAGCTCTTACTGTATGTTGACTGTAAGTACCCTGAACATGACAGCTGGGACATGCTTTGTCCTATTTCTGCCATTTTCCCCCTATTATTGTGTTTTTTTTTAAATGTGTAAAGAGATAAGTCGCAAAGAGGTGTTACTGCAGAGTTGGATTTGTCTGACGACTTTTTTTTACTACCCTGCCAGTAATAGTACAGACTGTGCTGCTGAGACTTTGTCCTCATTAACTTGAATTTGCACTGCGTTCTGAGGAGATGCAACCGAGGCAAGTTAGTCAATTTCATAAAAATCTCTTTGTACTGAGAACGTGTGAACATTGTACTTTCCATCTTCATTTCCTCTCTAGTCATTAAGTAAAGGTGCTCTGTGTAATATTTATTTTAATGCAAAAATATGCCCAGCTTCTGAGCCTTAAGAGAAGGACTGCAACAGAGGTGCTGTAGATTCATCCAGGTTGCCAAAATTAAATAAAAAGCAAGTGCGGGAAATATTATACACCTTTCAAGTTAATAAGAAAGAATCCAAACTGCCTACTAAACAACAAAAAGTTCATCCAGAGAAAAATAGGCATGATTATGTATATGGGTACAAGTATTGGTCATTACCTTGTGATTTGCCTGAGGTAACCTGAGCTGAAATGGGTAAAAAAAAAAAAAAGATATATATTTTGCTGTCATAGTTCATAGTGCGGCCTGTTCATGCCCTCAGCCTTGTAAGTAAAGAAATTGGTTCACTTTGGGGGCCGTGAGCTGAAAAGGTTGAGAGCCACTGAACTGTACTCGTTCTGGGCTCGCTGCCGCCATGGCACGGCTCCATTTCCTGTCATAAAATTTATGGAGGGTGTTTGCCAGTGGATATGAGCAGGGGCACACGTTTCCAAAAGAGCATCCAAAAGTGAGTGCATCCAAAATCTCAGTGGAGCACAGTGTTACACACACACACACACATCCACCATGAAAACTAATGGAGGAGTGAAGTTATTGTTATTTTGACACAACCCAGTGACCAGAATGATGTTGGCATTGTACGTTACTGTAAACCATGGATATGTCACATTTGTTAATTATAGAGTGAAAGCATCTCCTGATGAAATTTTACATTTCATCAATGCTGTGATTAATGTGTGGTTATGTTAAGATACGAAAACCGCTTGGTTATGGTTAGGATATGATCACGTTTTGTCTTAAAATACCCAGTTTTGCTGGCACAATCCCGGCTGGAAACACAGCTTTGTTTCTGTAAAAAACAACCACTTTTCATGGCACTATCTCAGTAGGAAAAACAGCAACAGGTCATTAAAAAACTCCAACATGTGGTGGCTTAAAAGCTGCTAGAAATACAGCAATGACCTGCTAAAAAACAACCTCTTGTGTCGTTTGTTGGTCTCAAACAGTTTTCTGCATATTGGCAGGGGTCATGCCATTCATTTCAGCATGACAAAGTCAGCTCATATACTTAATCACTCTGGAAACACACAAATGTAACGTACTCCTGGTTTGCGGAAATGTACAATGCCAATGTGTTTTGTTTTTGATGGTGCCAACTCGCATGGATGGAACTAAACATTGACAAACCAAGTGGGAAACAACTGCACAATCATGATTATCACAAAAGAAAATCAAGAACAAACCACAGCTTGACTTAACAGAGCATTACATACCACGCACCTGGCTCTCAGGTGATGTTACCGGCCAAACACGGGCTGCATCACTGGGGAAGAGAGAGGAGGGGCAATGGGTTAAAAGGTAAATTAAAGGTAGAGGCACACTTGTGGCATTCACTGGCTGTCAGCTGCATCTCAGCCTCAGACAGGTTGACAAGTGTGACTGAATGTGCCCTCCTATTGAACAGAATAGCCTCTCTGCCTCGCTCCACTTTCCTGGGTGAGCATTCCTGAAAACACTCTGGTGGCCACATAAATGTATCTGATCAAAGCAGACACCTTCACTGACAGCAGGACTCAAGTGAACAACACCCACATCTTTTCAAAGTCTCACTCTTTCTTACCTGTTGTACATTTATTAGTTTGGAACTGAGTTAAGGAGCCAGACCAAGCTGCTAAGATCTTTATGGTGCAAACTGAAAACTGTATCACAAAAATCACTTAGTTTTTCCTAATTTATAGATGTTGTGGCAATATTACATCCAGTTTGGTGGAAAATCCAAGGTACCAAGATAAATCTAAGAGGCTGTGAGATGATTAACAAAATATTTGCTACACAAATTTAGTTTTCTTTTTTAGAATTCACCGTCATTTTTTACTTCTTCCTTGTGTAATAGTGTGAAAATAAAAAAAAATAAAAAAAAAAAATAAGAGAGGTAATAGAATAACTGTATGGCTGAAAGGTCTAAAGGTTGTGAACCAGCCATTAAGATGTGGAGATCTCTGTCAATGGCAGCTAAAATGACACACCAACCAAAGATCAAGCGATACAATGGTACAGACCTGATGGCTGCCAAAAAAAAGGTGTGAAAGTTTTGCTTTGAAAATATCCACAATGTGAGGACGACCTAAAATGCTGTTGGGAAATGACTGTTAAACAAAACGTTGATTAAAATATGGTATTTTTTAAATGGTGATGGATGATGTAAGACCTAAGATGACAAAAACAAGATGCACCCTGGATTTTTAATATTTAAGACATACCTTGCTGAACTGAGGTGACTTCAACTAACCACTGCTAAAGACTACTATAAAAGTAAATACATATGTGTGCCAGAAATGTATTTCAATTTTCGTGCCAACAGATGGTTAGCCTCTTGGCACAGATGTTGGATGTCCTAATCATACGCTGTTTTTGACCATGATGCAGTCCTGTTTCAGAACATTTAATCACCTTTTTTATAGAGCAGTTGTACCAAAGGGGATGTTCTTTGCTGGGATTATACACACAGCATTGATCCTGCAGGACTTTGTACTGTCAGCAGCCTCAAAGTACACACAACAAAGAACAGTCCTCGGGGGGGCAATAACGCTTTCATATGCTGTTTACCAACACATGTATTATGTGAAAAATGCTGTGCATATATTATGATAAAAAGGAGGTGACTCCATTGCTCCCTGGCGACCACGACAGTTGGGCTTAATGACCCATAAAGCCTGCAAAACAAGCTTTATGGGATTTATCTGCACGGATGCAATGCGTCTTTGACCAATCATGTTACCAGATTACACAATTCCATAATTACCGACAAACTATTCCCGTGGACAGGACTGTAAAATATGTCTCACTGCAGCCATGGGGAAGCCTTGTTTTTACTTGAACAGCAGGATATTAATTAATCTTATGGTTTATGACCATATGACCCACAACAAACTCTAGAAGAAAACTTCAACACATACAAGTACAATCAAAATGAATGGTTTGGAGTAACGCATTTTATGTTTTAAGGTC